TATTGTGCTCTCAGCCTTGAACACTTTGGCCATTACCATTTATTTATATATACCCTCAGTAAAATGTTCATTGCAGATAAAAGCCTATTATTCTGGATAAGTAACTATACATTTTGGCGTATTATTTACAATCAGGCAAAAAAATAAGTCCAACTCACTTTTTCACAAATGTTCACGCATGAAAATTTGATAAACCGAATCTCACTTTCCATTACCGATAATTATTTTTTTACACATTCTCTCATTCACCCTACTTCGTTTATAGTGAAGGAGGATTGGTAGTTGAGTTTACCGACAAAGATATGAGTTGGGTTGGGTTTGTATTTGTCCCCAATGTTGGCAAATAACTATATATCTAAAGTGGAGAATCGCTTAATTCTATAAACACTTTCAGTTGCTAAATTATTTGTTTGGTATAGGCATGACGACTATGCCATTTTATAACGTGATAATAAAAGCACAAACAATATGCTAACCATAATAAAGTGACTAGATAGAAGGGCCAACGCCTTCATGAACAGACGAGGATTATATTCTACCTTGTTTGCTGTCCTAGTTAATAAATAAGGAACCAAACTTTGTAGAGTTATGCATAGGGCGCATGGGCAAAGAATTCATTCATAAAAAAGGAGGCGCGACCACAAAAAGTCTACGGATTACAGAAGATACACAAAGAATGCTAACCACTAAGGCTGATACTCAATTACAAGTATGGAGCAACACACAAATTGGTAAAGCTCACTCAAGAAATTAGATGACAAGCTATCAAACACAGTGAAGCATTCATATGAATTTTCTAAAAAAATAAAAAGCATGGTATTAGAGGAAACATACTAATTGGTAAGTTTTGATTTGAAATGCATGTATACAATTATCTCTGGAGAATATACGCTAACGGCCCTACTGAAAATCCTGGAATCACAACAATTCAGGAGAGAGTAGTTAACACGAGTAATCAATTTTACAATAAGTACAAACTAAGATACATCTATGATTAAATATTTGGACTTTCCATGGGATCGCCGCTCCTACCACTTTTGGCAAGCGTATACATGAAAAAAATAGAAAAGAAGTTCAAGATGGCACGGCTACAACCAGCAGTGTTCATGCGGTGTCTGAATGATTACTTCACACTTTGGTAATATGGAGGAGAAAAACTGGAAGATTTTATGAAGTTTGCGAATCAGATAAATAAAAAAATTAAAAACATGACAGAAGTTGAAGGTGAGCGGTTACCTCTACTGGATGTTGAAATGATACGCTCTGATAAGACGCTCAAGAAGAAGTTGTTTCTATTATAATAACAGTCTAAAGATAGAAATAATGAGGAGCATGATCATCCGAAGCCTACTTCTGGTGGTTTCGGAATTCTAGGATGAAGAATTGAACAAATTGGGTAGGATAGCCCTCGGCAATGGCTACCCAAGCGAAGTAATGCAAAGAACCATACGGACCGTGAAAAGCCGATAGCAGAATGGGTAATATGAAAGAACAATAAGGACGGAGAATGATTCACAAAAGTGAATATGCCTAGATTCCTGCAGAGCAACTAAAAAACAAAGGCCAAAACTAAGGAACTGGAATATTCTGGTGGCCATGAAGGAAAAAACAACACTTCACACGTCTACCGACGCAACACGAAAGAATAAATAAATTGGATTTTTCAGATATACAAGTCAAGGAACATCAAAGGATCTGCAGGAAAATGGATACCAAAAGGGCAGAATTAGCAGAACACATCGCACAGACTGGATTTGAAATCATTTGGAAAGCAGCAGAACGAAGGGCCTCATACGGTGAAAAAATAAGGAAGCAGAAGATTAGAGAGGCCATTGACATTCTTGCGGATAAATATCTAATGAACAGGAGGTTGAAGGAAGGTAGAGTTAGCGATAACTTTGCCTACTGCTTAAGCAAACTCGGAGAAAACAAGAATACAACAAGACCAGCAAAAAGGGACGCCTGGATCAAGGAACCATCAGCTACTGGAAAAAAATGGATCGCGATGAGAAGAGGCGGGTGAATTTTGGGAATCACGCGTAGACGTTATCAATGAGTGATATCAGTTCGTATAAACCAGTACAACTTTGGGGACCTGACAGTCAGGGAACTAGGCAGACGGATAAGCACAATCGTCACAAAAATTCGGCATTATGGCCAAAGTGTACTGGAAATCCATTTGAGATTCAGCATGCGACCAGAAATAGGCGTCCACAGTTTGCTTAGGTTACACGGGTTTAACCAAGGAGACGATCTGTGAAGGCAATGCCTGATATCTGCAAACATGGTAATCAGAGCCTATGTGCTCTGCTCGGTGAGGCAGAAGTGTATGCGCTTTTAACATCTTGAGAAATAGCGCCTGGAGTGAAATGCACACAGAGACTGGAACCGAGTGAAATCGGTCAACCAGGAAGATAGTGAACGGATCTACGGGACCATGAGGAGAATCCAGATTGGAGGCCCTAGTCGGAATAGCTGATATAAAGTGAGGGGGTCGGGGTGACAAGCAGGTGTGATGAGGCCACACTAGATTTGCCACAAAAGGGTACACATTTTGGCGAGTGTGGGATAAGAGGGTAAAGAGTAGAAAGATAAGCCAGGCTAGAAAGAAGAGTGATAGTGTAACCGTTTTCGGCAAAACGTTTGTTAAAAGATTGACTTCACTTGTCTCTTTGTCGAGTTCGTAGCTTAACGTTGAGAATTGCAAGACTCACTGAGGATACCGGCAAAACGTCTGAGAACGTACCAAGTCCACTGTCTTATCTTGTGAATTATGATAACTACTATGGCAGAGGACTTCGAACTAGGCGCGTTCTACTAAGTCTCCCGGACAACAAGGACAAGTTGCGACGAGGTCAACCCAATTCTCAATTTATGTTTATTTCAACCTCACTTGAAATTGTAATGAGTTGAGTCTGGACTCAATAAAAGGAGTAATACGTACAGAAGAGGATGATGGTTTTCACAAGTTAGCAATTTTCCCAATATTGCACTCCTACTCCTTATATCATTTGGGGCAAGATGACAATTATGATCTGCAAAGTGATTTGAAACTTCACTCTATTATCTAACATTTAAATGAGTTATATTCCTTTATATTTCACAAGCGCATACTTTCTTTTCGCCCGCGCTCAAATCTTGTTAAGAGAAGCACTCATCTTCTGATAAAAAAGCTGTTTATGCCATGCGTACATTTACATATCTTTAACCTCTTTATCAATACAGGTGCATTCATTGTTATTGACTCGCAACTTGAACGCCTAAAACACGAACAATCAGTTGATGTTTTTGGAGCTGTCTCTAGGATGAGATCACAGCGCAACTTTATGGTCCAAACGGAGGAGCAATATGCCTTCCTTTACGATGTTCTTGTCGAAGCCGTGGAAACAATTGATACAGAAGTGCTAGCCAGTGGGCTTTATCAGCATCTGATGAAATTGCGGCAACCAGCATCCAATACATTACTTGCTCAATACCTGGGAATCGATAACAGGAGAGAGCCAGGTCATTTAAATAGCAATATGTCAGGTCTGGAGCTCGAATATAAGGTACATAATCACAAATACATTTTATGTCTTTATTCACTTCCTTATTAAAACTTCGTTAAAGCATAAATTTGCGATTATAGGCTACTACTAGTTAGTTATTTTCCCTCATTCTCCCCTTATCCTCTTGAAAAATTACTATCAAAAGGGTAAGCTTATCTACAATGAAATTCGGAGCATTTTTGATGGACTTTCAGAACCTAAGGTTTACTTGAACATTTTATCATCATTATTCATTTCAGAGCTAAAATATTTGGCTATTTCAAATCCAAACATATTTATTAGCTTTTCTCCTTTACGTAGAGCTCTCCAAATTCTGTACTTTTATCATGTGCTATCAAGAGAAAAAACAGAGCCCAGATATTTAGTATATGTAATAGATATTTAATTAAAATGCCGGCTTGAGTTAATCAAGTTTAACTAGCCAAATGCATGTAAGAAAATATTAGTCAATTATTGATAAGCCGAAGCCTACTTATTAGAAATACAAGTTAATATAAATTAATCGATTTTTTTGCTAAGAATTTTATTAGATCCATGCGAATTACTAAAGTATAAGCGTCGAGATTATTGAGGCCAAGCATAATTATCGAAAATATAAAGTATTATAGA